GAATTATATTTTTAAGAACTATTTTGTATTCTCAAAGAAGTGCATACTTCCAGCCCCCAACTTCTCCTACTTTTTTCGATGCCTTGGTCAAAGGAATTGGTCGATGTGAGATATCTTAACCTTCTCAACTTAGCCTCTCAGCTCAAAGCTGGGAAGGGGCTCACCGTTGCTACTTCTTTCTTGAGAGGAAGCCTCAACAGTCCAGACGACAGAAAACGTGCGGAGCAGGTAAATTATTCTCACTCATTTCCTGGTAAGGTGTTTTTATCCATTGTACTTTTTCGTTTTCTCAGATCAAGTCACGTATGGACTTCGACATGAATCAAGTCCGGCTGCGCGGTTTTGCAAAAGTGCTTGTTCACGAAGAAAGCCAGGTACTATTGCTATGTTTCCCAATTGCTAACCGTTATGCATGTGGTTTACAGATTGCTGGTTCGATGTCAACACTCATTCAATCAGTGGGATTGGGTGGTCTTAAACCTAATACTGTGCTCGTCTCTTGGCCAGTACATGAACGTGGATCATCGGAAAGCAGCGATTCTGAATATAACACTTTCGCAGGTGTGTTCTTTCTCACGCTCCATCACCGTCTAAGGGCAGCGGTCAATCCGAAAGTCTTCAGCGTTTTGTAGTGTTCTCTAGGCACTCTCGCATATGCACACTATTACAGCGTCTCTGCTTTCTTTCCTTCCTTCAAAAGGCTTAGTCCTAGAAGAGCAGAAAGTATGCTTTTCTGTCTGGACTCTCACGCGTTGGTTGACCGCTGCTCCGTAACCCTCTGTCGCAGTACCTCGCTTACAGTTTTGCAGACAGTTGTTATTCTGATTTGCTATCAGGAATCAGAACATCATAACACCCGATAATTTTTCGTGTGTTCGTAGAAGTGTGGTATTGCTCCTTATCTGACATTGACTATTCAAAGCAGAAATCATCTGAACGGGGGATAGTATGAACCTCAAGTGTTCCAGTCGAAAAGTCTTAGGTGTACAAATTTTCAGATAAGCTACATGCTGCCTGCGCTATGGACATGTGTCTCTTGGTAGCCAAAGGAATCATCGACTTTCCTTCAAGTGTTTTCAAATTGACTGGTTTCGTTGACGTGTACTGGATTGTTCAAGATGGAGGGCTTTGTCTACTTATTGCATACCTTCTTAAGCAACATAAGGTAATCAATATTCATTCATTCAGTTTGTTTTTGCAATAGTATCTCTTGGAAATAGTTTTACTCTTTGGAAAGTTTTTAAAAAATTTCTTTTTAGGTTCTGGCGGGGGGCAAAGTTTACGGATTATCGTATTGACCAAGAGAACGCACAACATTCTTTAAGATGAAACAGTTGCAGCGTATGTCACCAGTTGAGAATCGAGGTGCGAGATGTTTGGTATGTTACTCAAATGTTTTCTATGCAGGGGGGATTCTTAAAATGGCTCAGAAAGTGTCTGTCTTTTGCGTGAAAAGTCTGCAAAAGGAGTAGTGGAAGCCACTAAGACTAGTAAATTAAAGCGGAATAAGGTCTCCTTCGCCATTCACTACATCGACATTTTTTTCGGATCGAACAGATGTTTTGTTTCGGATGCTCGCTATCAGTGATATCTTACAGATTCGTCGTGAAACTCGTGATCCGGAAGATATCGAAAAAGCGGTTGCGATGCGCACGCTCTTATGGTCAGGAAAGTTACACATGAGTCTCAAGAAATGCAAGATATCAGGGTGGATGGAGCAATGATTGCCATGCTCACCGTTGAAAATCTCAGGTAGCCATTTTTATCTATTAAATTGGCACAGTAATGCTGAATTGATTCATTACTTTTCGACATGTTTACATGCGGAGAGGAAGACGGCTGTCTCAGCACGAAACTCGAGTGAAGGAAATGGAGACGCGAATTCAACAGGAAACGAAATACACGAAGGTACGTATAAATAAGGGTCCACATAGCAGATGAGCTGTTGGCGTGCTGACATCTATTCCATTCTTTACCATGTTGTTTGATTTGATTATAATGTATAGGGTTTCGCTTCTTCTTCAGAAATTTCTCTGTGTACCTAAAGATTTTGAGTTTCTCCCAGGTACATGCCTGAGCCAATCGTTCGGATGAAATTTATCTGCCTTCTGCTTTTCTAACTAGTGGTGATGAACTTCTTAACACGTTGACGACCGTGTGGTATGATGTCATACCACACTCTTTCGGCCACGTGGGACCGTGTGACATGATGTCATGTCACAGTCTTTTTTAAGCTGGTTTTCAAACATTTTAGGTAACTTATTTACGTGATGTATGCGCCATACTTAGGCATTGTTACAAAAGGCGTGGTCCCTGGAAAGAAGCTTCGGTTGATGGGCTATCGAGTTTTTCTAAAATGTTTGAATAATGATCAAATCACAGGAATCGCTAAAATGGCCAAAATCGCATAATCGGAGACCTACCACACAAGAAAGATAACAAATACACACTTCCTGAGAAAAAGGAGTTCTCGTGGGACCGTTTGACATGATGCCATGTCACACTCGCGCGGTCAAAATAATGCGCGCGGTCCCACACGCCAGACAGCGAAAAATAGCGCGGTCGTCAACGTGTTAACTAGTCATTCTCCTGAATCCGAAGGAGCTTCCAATTTGGCAGGACCGCTCGGGAGAGGTTGGGAAAATCTCAGAGCCCAAAAAGAATGCGGAAACGGGGAAGGCAAAGATGAAGATCTGTACTCTCAATGCGCGAACGCTTGCAGTTGAAGCTCAAATCAAAGGTTCGAGTATAAAAACAGGAAAATTAAATATGACGTCGTGGAACTCAGCGAGACGATGAGGCGGACAAAGGGATTCACGCGAACAAAAAGTTACCATGTTGTACTGAGACGCAGGTCGATTCAGGGTGTGAACTCTTAGTTCCTTCAGGACGTTGGTTTTTGCCAGCTGTCTCCGTTCGGACGTATCCATGCATGCGAATTTGGTGCGCTCTGTGTGTGCGGTTTATATCCTGCATGTGGGCAGAGCCAAAAGCTTGCATTCAAGTGACAAGGGAGGTACATAGGGAGGCGGCTCGTGGTCGCCTCCAAAAGCGCCATCCTCCTATTCACTCTGGGATGATATGGCTAACTTCCTGGGATCTACCCGACCCCCATGACTGGAGCGCGGCAAGCTACTCGTGGGTATTCGATATGCCAGAATCGATAATATGGAT